CAATGAATTTTTGAGAAATTTTCACCAGAAGCAGACCACCCATAAAATGCAGAAAATGTCCCTGTCCAGAAAAGTAGCCATTTTCAAAAACCCTTCCTCAGCAAAATGGCTCAAATAGTGCCACTTTCAAACCCGAATGCATCCAAATTGCTCAGAATAGGAAGGCCTGAGTCCGGCCCAGAGGTCCAGTCTCATATTTCTTCAATTCCTCGGTTCCAGGGCTCTCATGCAGCAGGACCCTCTAAAATAGAATATTATGAGTCTGTAACTTTTATTAATGAGCTCGGCGGACATATTTCTTGCCTAAATACGAGGGTGCACCCTGAAAAGGATGACTTTACAAATAGCGCCCTTTATTTCAAAACGTAATATTTAGCGCCTTTACAAGGTCGAGTTCGGGCGGCCTGTTCTTGACACGAGTTTCTTGTTCTCGCGCTCGAACGGCGGGAACACGACTCAAGAACACTGTTCTCGGAACAGGATCACACACCACCTCCTTGTCAGGGTTTTACAGGAACACACGGAAAAACTCGTGAGAGTTTCATTTTTGAACAGCTGCAAAAGTAGGGAGATGGCTTCCAAAGCCATAGAAAATGGAAAGTTTTGCAAAATTAACATTAATTATTTTCCGTAACACAGAAATGAATGTTCCTGTTTATATAGAAAAGAATTCAGCCCATCCAAACATTAACTCTCGAATAACGTAGCCTACATGGACGCCGCTACGTTGAATGTTGCTTGTCACTAACTACCAGCGATAACCGGTTGTTTGTTCCCGGCGTTCGAGCGGCCGACCCGCGAACAACAAATCGAACTGTTCGTGAACATACGGGAACAAGCCGAGCGAACTCGGGCCAATAGTCTATTTTTGCTGCTGTTCAAAAGTCAAAATCTCACAAGTTTTTCTGTGTGTTCCTGTAAAACCCTGTGAAAAGCGTGCTTATGGAAAGGATGACTTTGCCAAGATCGCCCTCTTTTTCAAAAGTGAAAGCACCCTCCGCAGACCTAATATTTAGCGCCCTCTTGAGGAATAGTGCCCTCCAAAGTAAGAATAACCTTAAAGAATACCGCCCTCTCTTGAATTGACAGAATTTCGACTCAAAGGCCACAGCGCCCTCATTTATACTTCATTGATTCGTTATGTACTTTTTAGTATGGCGCCCCCAATAGCAATACAAGTTTTTGCTTGTAACACGCTTAATAGCCTCCTAATTAACGTGATTCTCGAAAAAAAATCGGCTGCTTTTGTCTCAGAAAGAGGACTATCAGGAAAAATGGCTTTACCGAGTAAGTTCTTCATATAAATAAAACAAGCATGTGAATTTCCAACAAATCTTAGAGGCACTGCATCATGGGATATGATGACGAGCGAATTCTAGATTTCGTTCAGGTAAGACGTATACAAACAAAAATTTTCCCACTCAAAATTTCTCAGACTGAAAAGAATTGAAGATTTGAGAGAAATGTCTAGTAGTGAGCACTTGTGCATGTACGCAAAATCAAATTCAGACTTTAGGAGTTAGGTGACAGGTCTCGAAGTGTCTAGGGCTTCTTAGCGGTGATTCCACCTTCATATTCCCCTCTGCCAGCATCTTCTGATCTTAGTAGTACCTACTCGAGTCCATGCAGCTGAAACAGGTATCCAAGTTTTGTCGAAAGCTGTCTCTCCCTCCAGTCGCTGCTTCTCTGCGTAACACGAGGGTATCAAGGAATCTGATGAATGCTGTGAACCAAAATAACCTTGAAGAACGAAATCGAACAGTCCATACAAATTCACGCGAAAGTTATTATTTATTTACAAATAACTTGGTAAAATTTTTACTTGGGATATACATTCAAACCTAGACAAGGATGCTTGCAGTTTTTCAAATAAGTTGTTTTCCTTTAAGGGCAATTTCAGTGGCCCTGTTTTGTATTTCAAACCTTACAGGAATTTGAAGATCAAAATTCATTGCATATAGCACGCTTTTGTATTCGAGTCCCTCACAAGTCCCTGTAAGTCTAGCACAAGTCAATCAGTCTTAAGCCAATTCGCAAGCTATTCAAATTAGCTGTGGCAAAAGCATTCTTTGGTCTTTGTTTACCCTGTTACTTGACTTGTGAAGGGACTTGTGACTGGACTTGCAATGGACTCGAATACAACACAAGTATACTCCTCCACTGCAAGTGTGCTGGTAAAACCAATACTTCCATATAATAAAAGTATGAGATAAACTATAGTCAACTTCCGCTGCCCTCTTTTATTCTGTTAAATGTTGGTTGATTAAAAAGATAACCGTGACAAACTTAAATTAATGAAAATACTTTGCCTTAGAATAAAAAGGCACTGAACGATGTCACGTGCAGAATCTTTCAAACGGTTAAAAACTTACTGGAAGCACCACTGAACAAGCGCCACAAGTCAAAATACAAAAGGTCTAATAAAAATATTTACCATTACCGTAAAAGTTATTAAATTTTGTCAGCTTAACAAAATAAAGCCTTTGAGATAAAGCACACGGTTACACAATGATACAGTTAAATAAGTCTAGTCTTCGCATTATTTTCATATGCAGCACCATAAGTTGGAAGGCAGTTACAGGGGAAACAAATGAAAATTATTAACACATACACTTAATAGCACATATTCGACAATCGGGATGTGCTACGTCTACGTTCTTAAAATACTGAATAGGTATTAAAACTTGCGCCTCTTGTCCGAAGTGGGTTCTTGTCTTGGTACAATTATCTCAGAAATAGCACGAGGTATGCTTGGTGAGCAGGAACTTTTAGCCCTTTCAAAAATTCCCACAGATTATACAGGATAAAATTTTATGCGAGATTATTTGAGGATAAATGGATATTTCTTTAATGGCACACCGCGGCTGCCATAATGACTACGCATTGGATCCAATGGTATTACGCTTTGGACCCCATGGTATTGCGCACAGGTTTTAGAAGGGCAAAGCGTCAATCCATTTCCAAAGTTCTCATGCGTATAGTCAAGATAAAAAGGTATAAAACAGATGAACATATCGAACATACAGTTTATTCTATGAATAAAAAAAATTAGCAGTACACAAAACGTGGTGACAGGAAATATCTTCTGGTTGACAACCCCATATGTATCTTTAATTTGTTTACACTTGTACGGTTCTCAGGAATAATTCAAATGAACAGGCAATAAGATATCCAACCCACTGCCTGTATTTGCATCAACATTTTATAAAATAGATAAAAAAACACTGAAAAATATCGACACTTCAGAGCAAATTTAATACTAGGCTCTACAAGAGGCTGAAATATTCTCTATTCTAAAATTACAAGCACTCAATGGAAACTGTACCCAAATACGAGCCCACTGTGGCTACAACTAGAATACTTTCACAAAGTACACAATGCAAATGGAAGATATTGGTTTTATTAATCACTGACGATGTTGACAGTTGTGTGGTAATGCTCATGTCTTGATTACTGCACCGCTATCTTTCAGTAGTTTCCCAGCTTGTGTCATAAATTTTGTAATTCAAATGCTATTTTTCAAGGGATATTTTGGAGGACCATCCCAAATTTTTAAAAACAATCTCCTCATGTCCGTGAATCGAAAATGATATCTAACATGTTTTATTAATTCATACCTCTCAATACTTATTTCTATTCAGTGGAAGTTAAAGAGCACCGTCCTCGCAGCCACATACTTTCACATACACGTATATCTGACTATTATGCTAGTATTCTGTATGGCACGTTCGTAACTGCCACTTGAACTTTTACACAAGATGCCCCACTCCAGGCCCACCCCCATACAACCTTAAAAGAACCACTTACTATACCTCAACAAACCCTATTGGTTTTAGGAACAAAATTACACTGGGTTTATTATATCTAAGTTTCAGGCTCAACAGGAGGTAATTCTTCAAGCATTTATAGCCTATTCCAAATATTGAAGAGCCAAACCAAAAAACAATTATTTTCATTTATTGGAACACCTGTAACATGTGGTACATGCTCTACTCGACAGAGTCATCCACAGAGGTAAAGGCTTACTTCAAAAGCTGTTTAATTTCTTGAAAAGCTATTCTATATATAGTTAGCCCCTGCATGGCTTAGGGACAATTGCTTATATCTATACACTGGAAGTTATGGAGTACCATGCCGGCAGGACACTTGCAGCCAGGGACACAGTCATTTTGGGTGCATTCTGGTGGGTTGGGGGAGTTGAGGGACTCGCATGTGATCTCACACGGTGGAGTGCACTCGTCATAATAGGCCCTGGCTGGACATGAAATGGCTGTAGCACAGAACAAGAACACCACACTGAACATGAAACATGTGGAAGTCACCACAGCGGTGTAACAGGGAGCCTTTCCCCCCCCCCCCCCCGCCCCCCC